TTAATCATCTGAAACAGGATGCACAAAACAGATGCTTAACCATTCTAGTAATCAAATGAGATATCCCCATCATAAATTAAATTTCAGCATTTTCAAACGATACTGGTTAGCATTAGTTTATTATCAAGAACCTAACATTTCTGGGAAGTCTGGAAATGCTCAGTTTCTGAGATTGCAGTTTAGGCTCTGGACCCACTTAAATAAACCTATTAATGTTTAATGCCAACTGGTGAGGTTTCTTAGGAAGTAATGGTGGCTGACATTTACTGAACATTCATTGTAGGCCAAGCACTCTGCCGAGTGCGTTACCTGCCACGTTGTCTTAGCCTCACAAATGATCTTCAAGGTGGGTACAATAGTTCTCCACTTACAAATGAGAAAATTGAAGCTTGGCGGTGCTAGGCAGCTTGCCCTAGGGTTGCACACAGTTTGTTAGATGGCGGCACCAGAATCCAAGCCTCGGTCAGCCGGGGTTCTCAGCCTCTGCTGTACTGCCCAAGATTCAAAGGAGAGGGGCCTGGTTTCAGATCCAGTTCCACTTCCTTCCAGGAAGATGAGCTTAAACAAGTTATGTTTGCCTCTCCAAGCCTGAGATTGTTCATCTGAAACACAGTGTGGGTAACTCCCATGTAGGGCTTGCTTGGAGGATTAGGTATAAAATAAGTGAAGTGCCCATCACAGTTCCTAATACGTGATGGAGACTCAGCAGGAGATAAGTGTAATTGTTTGGGGCTCTCTGCTTCCTACCTCCTCCTTGGCATGTGACCTGTGTGTCTCTCCGGTACACTGAAACCTTTGTGCTTTCAGATACATGTCAGAATATACCTTGATTAGGGTCGTCTGGGTGGCTCAGTCATTAAGCGTCTGACTTCAGCTCAGGTCATGATCCCAGGGTCCTGGGATCAAGCGCCATGTCGAGCCCCATGGGGGAGTCTACTTCTCCCTCTCCCTTTGCCCCTCCTCCTGCTCGTGCACTCTGTCTCTCTCAAATAAATAAAATCTTAAAAAAATACATAACTTGATTATTTAGAAGACCGCCGAGGCTGTTCCTAGTTTTAAGGACTGACATTTTCCCTGCATAGCTGCCTGAATTTCTTTTCATTCCTGTGATCAAGTATACGTACCATGTGCCATTTTTACTGGTTTTCACTCTAGGATGCGGTGGCATTAGTGACACCAGGGCTCTGTGTACCCATCACCACTGCGTTTCCAAACCTTTTCCGTCACCCTGAGCAAAACTATGCAACCATCACGCAGAACTCCCTTGTCTCTCCTGCCCACTGCCCCTCTAGTCTGTTTTCTGTCTCCACGAATCTGCCCATTGTAGAAATTTCATGCAAGTGGAATCGTACAGGCTAACTTCACTTAGTATAATGCTGTCAAGGTTCATCCATATTTTCTTTTTCTTTTTTTTTATTTTTTCTTTTCTTTTTTTTTTTAAGATTTTATTTATTTATTTGACAGAGAGAGAGGCAGCGAGAGAGGGAACACAAGCAGTGGGAGTGGGAGAAGAAGAAGCAGGCTTCCCACGGAGCAGGGAGCCTGATGCAGGGCTTGATCCCAGGACTCCAGGATCATGACCTGAGCCAAAGGCAGATGCTTAACTGACTGAGCCACCCAGGCGCCCCTCTTTTTCTTTTTTTTAGCAAAGTTTATTGAGCGATAGCAAAGTGATAGTACAAAGCTCCCAAGGAGGGAGGGGACCCAAGAGGGTTGCCCAAGGTGCATCCATATTTTTCCATGTATCAGAACTTCATTCCTTCCTATGGCTAGGTAATATTCCCTGGCATGAATATACTGCACCTTGTTTAACTACTCATCCGTCAGTGGACATTTGGGTAGTTTCCACCGTATTAGCTACGTGCACTTTATTTATTTACTTGATTATTGATTTATTGAAGTTTAGTTGATGTAAAATGTTACATTATCTTCAGGTATACAACATAAGGGTCTACAGTTCTATATATTATTGCTGGGCTCACCATGGTAAGTATAATTACCATCTGTCACCACAAGGTTATTACAGTATTATTCACTATATTCCCAATGCTGCATTTTTCATCCCTGTCACTTATTTATAACTGAAAGTTTGCACCTCTTAATCACCTGCACCATTTTCACCCCTACCCCCAAGCCCTCCCTTTGGCAACCAACAATTTGTTCTCTGTATTTATGATTCTGTTTTTTTGTTGTTGTTGGTTGGTTGGTTGGTTTGGTTTGTAGACTCCACATATAAGTCAAATCATATCATATTGGTCTTAATCGGATTCATCGTACTTAGCATAATATCCTCTGGGTCCATCCATGTTGTCGCAGATGGCAAGATTTCATTCTTTTTTGTGGCCGAGTATTATTACATTGTGTATATATACCACATATTCTTTATCCATTCATCGATCAATGGATATACTTAGGTTGCTTCCATACTTGGCTATTGTAAACAATGCTGTGATATTGGCAGTGTATATCTTTTCAAATTAGTGTTTTTGTTTTCTTTGGGTAAATACCTAGGAGTGGAATTGCTACATCATCTGGTATTTCTATTTTTAATGTCTTGAGGAACCTTCATACTGTTTTCCAGACTGGCTGCACCAGTTTGCATTCCTACCAACAGTGCACAAGGGTTCCCCTTTTCTCCACATTCTTGCCAACACTTGTTATATCTTGTCTTTCTGATCCTAGCCATTCTGACTGGTGTGAAGTGATACCTCATTGTGGTTTTGATTTGCATTTCCCTCTTGATGAGTGATACTGAGCATCCTTTCATGTTTTGTTGGCCATCTGTGTGTTTTTTGTTTTTTGTTTAGTTTTGGTTTTGGCAGAATGTCTATTCAGGTACTCTGCCCATTTTTAAATCAGATTATTTGGCTTTTTGGTCTTGAGTTGTGGAAGTTCTTTATATATTTTGGATACTAATCCCTTATTGGATATGGCGTTTGCAGATATCCTCTCCCATTCTGTAGGTTGCCATGTTATTTTGTTGGTTTCCTTCACTTACAAAAGCTTTTTATTTTGATGTAGTTCCAACAGTTTATTTTGCTTTTGTTTCCCTCGTTTGTGGAGATATATCTAGAAAGGTGATGCTAAGGCCAATGTCCAAGAGTTATACTGGCTATGTTTTCTTCTAGGAGTTTTATGCCTTCAGGTCTCACATTTAGGTCTTTTTAATCCATTTAGAGTTTATTTTTGTGTATATTTGGTGTGAGAAAGTTGTGCAGTTTTCCTTCTTTAACATGTGACTGTTCAGTTTTCCCCACCGTTTATTGAAGAGCTTGCCTTTTCCCCATTGTATATTCTTTTTTTTTTTTTTTAAGATTTTATTTATTTATTTGAGAGAGAGAATGAGATAGAGCATGAGAGGGGGGAGAGTCAGAGGGAGAAGCAGACTCCCTGCTGAGAAGGAGCCCGATGCGGGACTCGATCCTGGGACTCCAGGATCATGACCTGAGCCGAAGGCAGTCGCTTAACCAACTGAGCCACCCAGGCGCCCCCCATTGTATATTCTTGCTTCCTTTGTCATAGATGAATTGACCATATCATTGTGGGTTTATTTCTGGGCTCCCTATTCTGTTCTATTGATCTTTGTTTTAGCCACATACATTTTATAAGTCATTCGAGCTTGGGTTCTTTCATGATAGTAATCTCAAAGAGAGTTCATTAAAATAATAACTGTTTTTAAAAATGATACTCTAGAATTTATTTTAGGGCTAAACCTAAGTTAATATAGATATGTGGTATAAGGAAAATGATACCATCCAGATTTAGATATTTTTATGTTTGCCAACCAGTACTTGTATTCTGAATCAAATAAAATATTCCAGTTGCAAAATATGTTGAAAACATATGATACAATCAGTGCAGGGCTAATGTCTTATTTTGTACTTCATTTTCATGTTTTAAAAGAATTGTACTTTATTAACATGTTTCTAAACACCAACATTTATATTAAAGAATTTAGAAAGTCACTAAAATTTTTCTTAGGTTACTGGAATATTATATTTGATTCAAACCCAAAATAATGATTGGCAAGCAAAAAATTTCAGAGTCTTGCTGGCATCATTTTCCTTAAAATGTAATATACTTTTGGATGATAAGGGGGTACAAAACATGTCTGGTAAAAGGCTTAGAATCTATTTTCTATATCTTTACAATGTTAGAAGGATCCTTGGATCAGATTTAGATTTTCTTTTTTTTTTTTTAAAGATTTTATTTATTTGACAGAGAGACACAGCGAGAGAGGGAACACAAGCAGAGGGAGTGGGAGAGGGAGAAGCAGGCTTCCTGCTGAGCAGGGAGCCCGACGCGGGGCTCGATCCCAGGACCCTGGGATCATGACCTAAGCCGAAGGCAGACGCTTAACGACTGAGCCACCCAGGAGCCCCAGATTTAGATTTTCTAAGTCTAAAGTAGTCTAGAGTTAATAATGTCCCTCTTTTTTTTCTTTTAATTGTATAAAAGGAATTTGCTGACAATTCTAACGTACTTTCCAGGGTGTATTTTTAAGAAGTAAGTGATGTAATGAGAATAGAGTATTACCATATACTATCTGAATTTTCCACATACCTTTTTTTCCATTTATTTTTAAAATATCTGTAAATATGTTTGCAAATATTTCTGCTGTTCAGCCAAAGGACTTACTTGTCTGGTAAGCGTCCAGTGATAACGAGCGATTGATTTTAGCAGTAATTTCTTTCATTAAGGTCGTGGTCCCATGGTACACAGTAAAATAACTTAGAGAACTTAAAAAAACGTATGAGTCCCAGGGCTCCATGCTGGACAAGCTCTTCAGGTAAGAAACACACAGCCAGGGTTGAGAACCGTTATATTCAAGCCAGACCCCAGTGAGGTTGGGTGGGGTTGTAAGTGGGGAAGTAGAAGGAATGAACCTCTGTCATTTCCGTCCTTTCCCTACTTACAGTAAGACAACTCAAGAGAAAAGGAAATTCAAAGATCGCTGCAAATCCAGGGGTAAAGTAGCTTTTTTCTTTTTGTCTTTGTAGACATGGACGGACTTGATTGAAACTTAAATGGTTCCACAAAAGATGCTCTGATGGATGACAGCGGAACTCCTACAGATAATCTGCAGATAGAGTCACAAGATGGGTGTCATCCCGGTGACGGCGTGGGAAGCATAGGGACACGCTTGCCTTCTGCCTCGGATGAAAATGAAAATCAGCTGGATGGGGACGGGTGCGAGTGTCTGAGCAGTAGTGCCAGCGCCATGGGCCAGCCTGATGTGCTTGCCCAGGACAGTCTCAACAATAACGAAAACTGCCCACCCAGCAGTGAGGTGGCTGTGTGCGAGAGCTCGGAAAACACTTCTTGTGAAAGCCCCAAGGATGGGCAGGCCCTCATGGGAAAGGACAAAAAAATACCTGGAAAAAGAAGCCCGAGAGCCAAAAGAGGCACAACTAAGAAGATACCACAAGGTATTTTTAAAAATTATTTTTTATACTATTCTTTACCTGAAAATAAACTATCTTCTCATCCCATACTCTGTACTGTCCTGCATCTTGCTTTACTTCTCTTGTTATACTCTGCAGCTACTTCTCCAGCAGCACATGGAGATCCAACTGTGTGGCATGTGACATGCATGACATCTTTCCACAGTGTTTGCTCGCATGGGTGTGCATGATTTATTCAGCCACTTCTTTATGGCGATTCCCAGTAATTTGCTATAATAAATGTGCTGAAATTGAAGTTATTTGTACATGTTTTCACACAAGATCTTTTAAATATATATAGTCTTCCTTCATAAATTAGACCATTTTCTACCAGTATCAGCCCTAAAAATTTCATTCCGTCATCACTGTGGCTTTGATCTCTCATCTGTGAGTTTTTGTGCTGGTATAGTTTTTATTTTATTTTATTTTATTTTATTTTAATTTGAGAAAGAGAGTGAGAGCAGGGGGAAGGGCAGAGGAAGAGGGTGAGAGAGAATCTCAAGCAGACTCCACGCTCAGTGTGGAGCCCAATGCAGGGCTTGATCTCACGACATTTTTTTTTTTTTTTTGAGCGAGAGAGTGAGGTGCTGGTCCAGTTTTAAATTCTTTTTTTTTTTTTTTAAAGATTTTATTTATTTATTTGACAGAGAGAGAGAGAGCGAGAGCAGGAACACAGTAGGGAGAGTAGGAGAGGGAGAAGCAGGCTTCCTGCTGAGCAGGGAGCCCGATGTGGGACTCGATCCCAGGACCCTGGGATCATGACCTGAGCCGAAGGCAGACACTTAATGACTGAGCCACCCAGGCGCCCGGTCCAGTAAATTCTTTTACAGGATCTTTCCAACTCACTTAGTAAGCGGATAATATGTGTTAACATATATTGATATACATTTTATATCAATGTTGAATAAGACATCTACCTTTCATTGTCTATATCACTTTGGTTACAAAGTAATTCAGAGTATTTCTTTCTTCTTTTTCTTTTCCTCCCTGCACCCCCCCCGGGGTATTTCTCATTTGGTATATAGTTTGGGAGTTAAAGTTTGGAGCTATGGACTTTTTTTTCCTGAATCACACAGGGCACCCTTAGGAAAAGGCAGCCTCTGGTTATTTTCCATCAGGAACATGTGGGACTGGAGAGTTCTGACACGTCCGAGGCTGGGACTCTAGTGTAACACCACCTTACCTAAGCCAGCAGTCTTCGCATGAGGCTCAAGAGAATTGAGGGGAGTGTCTCCTCATCTTTTGCTTCTTTGGCTGCTTAGAAATATAGTTGATCTCTCCATATCCTGTTTTTTTATTTATTTTGTTAATTTGGAGTAAAAGATGAAACTTTCCAGTTCATACACATTTATCCTTCTTTATTCAATAAAGTGATTTGTTAACTTTTTAATGTAGCTCATAATTAGGCTTTCCGTTTAACTGATCCCTTCATCTTTGCTTTTCCTTAGTTTGCTTAAAGAAAATTAAAATTAATTTTGCAGAGATGTGAGAGCCTTTTCTTAAAAGATCTAAGATAAACAGATGATGTATGTAGTGCTATTTGTATATAAATTGATTTATCTAATGACTGTAATTCAAGAGCAATTTGTGCCTCTCTAATATGTTCTTTTGATGTTTTTAGGAACTGAGACCTAGTTGCATATGAAATGGGTCAATCATAACTCCTTTTATTCCTCTTTCCATGACCTTATTTCATTTTCCCTAGGTGTGATTATATTATTTAAAGTTATTTGGTATTTATTATCCAGTGAGCAGATATGTGTAGAATTACTGTTCCCTAATGCATTTGTAATATATGATTTATAAAACTCAGGGATAGTCTTTATATAGATTAGCTTTAAAATTCTATTATATATCTTATATATTATATATTATATATCTTAAATGAGTTTAAAAGTGTAAGAAAACTGAATTAGGAGTTGCAAAACCTACATTCAAATCTTACTTCTGGTTTTGGTCACTTGGTGAGACTTAACCATTCTGTACTTTAGTTTTCTCAACTGTATAATGATGATGTTCATCCAAATATATCTATAAAATTCCTTTCTGAGCTATGAATTCCTTAGATTCTTGAACAGAGATGGTATGGTCTAAACTTGGTTAAAGTTTGGTGATTCACCTCTGTATCTATATAGTTTTTGTTTTTTTTTTAATGTAAGAGGTACATTTTTATTTGTACTTTGAGTTTTGTTGTTAAATTAAAAGAACAGAAGTGTGGGTGGGCAGAAGAATTTTAAGCTGGGTGGAAGGAGTCCCAGGAGGGCAGAATTACTTCTTTCTAGACCTGGAAGGACCTGGAATGGGAAGCTTTAGGATGGCCTGGGAGCTCTTTTCACTGTTCCCTGAGAGTTCGCTGAAGCCTATCCTCTCTCAGTACACACCCCATTACCAGGCCCAAGTGATCGAATCTCCCTGAGATCTCTCTGGTTAGTCTGTTTCTCTCCATCTCCAGTGCCACAGTTCAACGTCATCATCTTTAGCTGGAGTAAAGCTGCCTAAAGATGTCTCTGTCCTGTCGCTCCCAAATTCATTCACTAGGTTAGAACAATCAATGCAGAGAGTCCATGCATACGTGTCTAGACATGGGCATGGTAGTTCTTCCATTACTGTGAAATTCTAAGATCCTAAGTAAATGAAGTTTCAAAATTTTACGGATGGGTACTTTTCTAATAACAGAATAGCCTTTCAAATGCAAAATGATATATAAAACATGATATTCAATTCCAGACCAGAAATAAAATTTTTTTTATAGATAGGTGCTCTCGCAACACTTTTTAAAAGAAATATATTAAGGTGAATTTATTTACTCTTATGCCTCTTTATGTAGTTTAATTTGTAATAATTTTTTCTTTCTTTCTTTTTTTTTTTGTAATAATTTTTTGTATATCTAAAAGCTAGTGCCGGAAAAAGAAGTAGAGCAATATTAGGAGACATGTCATTATTTATAAGTTTAACCTTAAACTCAGCCTCACAAAAGTCCAGTTGTCATTATATTATGAGACTTTGTTTCCTTTAGAGAGTTGAATCCCTGTAATGTGGTCAACTAAGCAGGTTTCAAGCTGTATTACATCAAATTTTTACTATAGTTGAGTCTAGCATAACTTTAATATCCTAAAAAGGAATGAAAATTAGCTGATACGTTTTTAACAGCTTGGGGTGCCTGGGTGGCTCAGTCAGTCAGTTAAGCATCTGACCCTTGATTTCGGCTCAGGTCGTGATCTCAGGGTCTTGAGATCGAGCCCTGTGTTGGGCTCCCCACTGGGCGTGTAGCCTGCTGGAAATTCTCCCTCACCCTCTCCCTCAGCCCTTCTTCCCCCCCCCAAATTTTTTAACAGCTTTATTGAGATATTCACATACCATACGCTTCACCTACTTAATGTGTACAATTCACTGATTTTTAGTATATTCCCAAAGCTGACAACCATAACCACCGTCAATTTTCATCATTCATCACACAAAGAAACCCATACCTATTAGCGAAGCCATGTCCCATTTATCCCAGCCCTAGGCAACCACTAATCTACTTTCTTTCTTTATAAATTTGTCTCCTCAGGACATTTCATATAAATGGAATTGTACAATATATGGTCTTTTATGACCGGCTCCTTCACTTAGTGTAATGTTTTTAAAATTCATCCACGTTGCACCCGCACATATCAATACTTTTTTTCTTTTTATTATGCATTAGTATTCCACTGCAATGAATATACCACATTTCATATCTATTTGTCCGCTGATGGACATTTGGACTGTTTCTACTTTTTGGCTATGCTGAATAATGCTCCTATGAACATTAGCAAAAAAGTTTTCATGTGGACATATATTTTCCCTTTTTTGGTTATGTATGCCTAGGAGTAGAATTGCTGCATCATAAATAGACACTTTGTTTAACTTCTTGAGGACCTGCTAAACTATCTTCCAAAGTGGCTACACCAGCAATGTATGAGGGTATAATTTTTCCACATCTTCGCCAACACTTGTTAATATCTGATTCTTTGATTTTAGCTATAGTCCTTTTCATTCACATGGAACTTACATGCTATAAAATTCACCTTCATGAAGTGTACCTCTTGGTTCTAATATATTCACGTAGTTATACAACTATCACTAGTATCTAATTCTAGAACATTTTATCCCCCTCTAAAGAAATCCTGTATCCATTAGCAGTCACTCCCCATTTCTCTGTCCGCTCCCCCACCCCAGCCCCTGGCAACCATTAACCCATAAATTTTGTGTGATTGTAAAAAGCAAGTTCAGATTAAGTGTTTGATGGTTGCCATAGAACATACTTTATTTACTAAGTCACCCCATATCTAAGCATTTAACCGAACAGTTCAGCAAATGGCAGGAAGCCAGAGATAGGCAGCACATGGAAATTGAGAAAGGAAGAACTTCCAGATTGATTTGCCACTCGTATTCAGTGCCCTGACTTGTTCCTCTGGCAGCCTCCAGCTCGGCGGTGACAAAGAGGGTGTCAAAGCTAGAGGAAAACAAATCTTGGAAATGCATCTGTGGCTGGAGTCAGGCTTGCACAGTGAAAAGAGCAAAGACTTTGGCTCTGCCTGTTCCTACCCATGTGACCTTAGGAAAGCAACTCATTTCCCTGAGCCTGTTCCCTTATCTGTAGGACAACTGATCCTACCACTTCTGCAAGATTGTCCTTAGAATGAGTGATCCTGTATGTAAAGCACTTTATCAAGTACCCAGCTTCTAAATGGTACCTGTAGTCTTTGGGTGTGTCATGGGATGATTTCTGAGTGGCGTGACCAGGAGCAACATTCAGTGAAATTAAGAAATTGGTTTAATTTGACTTTAAGTCCATCTTACTTCTTTTGTCACTATCTTTCTTATCTCCTGAGATCTTTTTAATACTCTTTTCAGCCTTAGCTGTCCCTGCCTTGCTCCCCTAAGGTATATTCTGAAAAACCTATTTCCAGTGCCTCCCTAGCTTAATGTTAGGTATCACGTGCCTGCTGGCATTTATC